GCAGTGGGAGATGGAAACAGGCAAATCAGGCATGCGTGTTGTGGATATGGCTGTGATATGGCTTAGGGACAAAGGGCAAGCCTTTTTGGGGGAGGTGTGTGAACACGTGAGGGTTACCCCATTCATGTAGAACCAGAGTTGTGAAAAAGATGAGTATATGAGGTGGAGGCAAAAAAGGAACAAGTGTTGATACACAAGGTAGAGGCATGTGAGCCTTCTCCCATTGCGTCTCTTATTTGGGGGAGGTGTCACGGCAAGGGTGTATAATTTATTATGACACTATGGAATATCATCTTTTAATGTGATTTCTTGTAGTAAATGGCACAAATTACAGAGATGCTATTGCTGAGGTCAACAGGGGTTACATCTTTTGAAGCTGGGACCCCCACAGAGGGCAGATGACAGAAGGGGTAGTGTGAATGGCATAGGAATGTGAAAAGGATTTTACTGTATGGATGTGAAGTCTGCAAGGTGTGAGGTTCTACACTTGGAAAAAGTCTGAATGTCTCTTCATCCATTTGGCCTGTACCTTGTAAGTGATGAGTAAATCTCTTTGATATGTAAATGCCATTAGCTTTGTTCTAGTATCATATCCAAAGGAAGGACAAAAACATTCATATTTACCCCCACAGAATAATAATTAAGCCTCATTTTTGTTATATTTGGAATGTGACAAGCGCCATCTTCTAACCAAGTCCAAACATGAGTGGCCTAACTTGACCCTAGGGAAAGGAATTGTGATGTCCGTCCTATTGGATCGTGGGTGGGACGTGCAACATGTCTATGGAATGGGAAAATAATAACAAATTTGTAGATGCAATTATTATTTCTGTGGCAGGTACAAAAAAGAAGATAGAATCAAATGTTTCTATTTGGATTGACGGTGGTCTGGAACAAAGGAGGTGGTCAGTTATTATTTCTGTAGGTACGCCTTAACTCCACCCCTGGGCAAGACTTGATAAACCACAGGGTATATATCTAATGATCCTGAAGGGTGTTGGTGTACTTGCTTGGGGCCAAGATCTAATTTTGGGTGAGTCACCATCTTTCCTTGTCAGAGACCCCCTGGACAGAAGTTGTACTTTGAAAACCTAAGTGAGTAATTAGGACTTCTGTATTTTATCCTTTTTGTTTTTATCTGTTGTTGGTGTATATAATTTGTTTATCATATATTTTTATATGCACTGTGACTATCTTTTGCTCATAATAAACATTAATTTATTAAGTTTTGCCTTTGTCTGGTTAAGAATCACGTTACCTGAAGAGACTAGTTAGTATTTTTATAATTCCTTAAATATTGTACTAAGTAATATTTGGTGGGTTTTATTATTGATTTACCTGGGGGACCAAGGCACCCCATTTATAAATTGTCTTGGTGGTGGCAGCGTTAAAGTAGTAATAGTTATATTATTATGTTTAAGTGTGGGTGGTGTTAAAGGGGGATTTTGTCATTATTTCCGGTCTAGTGCAGACAAATAGTGTACTTTAACCCTTTCACCACCACAACTACGTCACGCACACTCTTGGAGTAGGGTGCGTTCGTGACAATTGCCATTTTGCAGGAACAGCAATGTTTACATTGCAAGGTCAACATGCCTCTAGTGGTTGTTACACTGACTATGATCCATCTCTCATAGAGACCATGTGATTGGTGCAACGTGATGTTTTGCCATGCGTGCACACTAGCCCCCCAATGCTTGTACTGTATTGGCTGAGATAATCTAGATTGATGAAGTCAGTCAAGGAGGTGGGATCAGCTGTGAAGTAAACCACCTCTTTCCTTCACAGCAAGGGACCCGTGAGCAGGTTACTGTAGCATTAGGAATCAATGTTTATATTCCGAATGCTATAGTGTTGATTTAACAAGGTAAAACATTATATTATTCAATGTATTATTCAGCTACATCCTTTTAGTACAGCGATAACTCCAATGTACGCCTTTGCCACTATCCTTTGAAGCTATAGTGCCATATAAGAGAACTGGCCTTTTCAGTTTTTTACAGTTAGAATCTTTCATGATAGATTTGATGGGCCTATGTCTCATTTTGGGTCATTACAACAGTTTGACTGTTTAAATTACCCCACAAAAACCTCCCATCTTTGAAAGTAGAGAATTCAGGGTATTTTATGTATTTATTTTATGTACCTTAATATGTCCCCATTTTGTACTAATTAAAATATATTATATATTAAAATTTGAAAAATGTTATATTACAAATGTTATATTAATATTTGATTATTTATTTTTTAAATTCATTAGAAATGTATTGAAAGATTTTGCATACATACAGTTAGTTGCAGAAATATTTGGACCCTGACACATATTTTGTTATTTTGGATGTGTACCAAAATAGATTCAAGTTACAGTAAAAAAAAAATTAAAAAAAAAAAATATGGACCCAATGGGCAGTCTCTAATCTTTAAGTTGAGGGTATTCACATCCAGATTGGAGAAATGGTTTTTCAAGGGACCAAAATTAATGGACAATTGACTCAAAGGTTTTTTCATGGACAGATAAGGGCTGTTTCCTCATTAGTTTTTCATCAATTAAGCAGCTCTGTCTGGTAAGATTCAGCGAAGTTTATTGGACTGTGCTTTACTTTATAGATGGTCAGTGACCAAAAACATACTGTGAAAGCAGCCCTGAAGTTTTTTAAGGCAAAGAAGTGGAACATTCTGTAATGGGCGAGTCAATCACCTGATCTCAACCCGATTGAGCACGCATTTCACTGGCTGAAGACAAAGCTTAAGGCAGAAAAGACTGACGAACAAACTACAACTAAAGACAATGCAGTAAAGGCCTGGCAAAGCATCACAAAGGAAGGAATCAAGGTCGTCTTTAACAAGGGACAAACAGGGCGGGCCCAAAGCAGCTGCCCCATTTGCCCTCTACCCGCAATAATTACTTTTAGGATTGACGATGAGCGCTGGGAGGAAGTGACTAACACAGAGTGCCGTGTGGGTGGGAAGAAGAGAGTAGAGGAGTGCAGAGTAGGGGTCTCTGACTCTCAACTTCAACAGCCAACCACTGGACCCCAGGGAAGCCAATCTCCTGCACCTAAAAGATAGGAAACAGAAGGGTGGCTTAAAAAAATTACATTTGCATGTGTGTCCGTATGAGTACCTGTGTATGTATGTGAATATGTGTGTCTTTATGAGTATATGTGTGTCTTTATATGAAAATGTGTTTCTGCATGTGTATCTGTGTGCCTGTATGTGTATCTGTGTTTCTGTTAGTGAATATGTGTGTCTGAATATGTATCGGTGTGTCTGTATGTGAATATGTATGTCTGCACGTAAATCTGTGGGACAATATGTGTATCTGTGTGTCTGTATGTAAATATCTGTGCCTGTATGTGTATATGTGTGTCTGTATGTGAATATGTGTGCCTGTATATGTATCTGTGTGTCTATATGTATATCCGTGTGTTTGCATGTATTTGTACGTCTGCATGTGTGTCTGTGTATGTGTATCTGTATATCTGCCTGTATGTGAATCTGTGTGCCTGCATGTGCATCTGTGTTCCTGTATGTGTCTCTGTGTGTCTGTATGTGAATCTGTCTGCATGTGGGTCTGTGTATCTGCGTGTGATGTATGTATGTCTGTGTATCTGTGTATATCTGTATGTGTATTTTTCTGTGTGTCTTTATGTATATATATAACCCCCATTATTATTTGCCTAGGTGAGGTGTATTTGGGAGTCCAGGCCAGCTCCTTGGCCAGCTCCTTGGTTTTGCACCCCTGTATGCATGTTCAGGTGAGTGCAGCCTTCTTGGTTTTGTTTGTATATTTGGGAGTCCAGGCCAGCTCCTTGGTTTTGCACCCCTCCCTGTCACAGGTGCCTCATTCCAGGACCCTATTTAGCCTTGACTTGCAGAGAGTCCCAGTAAGGAAGTATTTCCCAAGTAAGTGGATTAATCTCATAAGGGCAAGCATTAGGCTGCTAGAGTAGGACCTGCCAAGAATGGGGTACATTGACGTTGTGGCAGGCTTATGCAATATATGATCATATAATGTAACTAAACCCCCATTATTTTTTGCCTAGGTGAGGTGTTTTTAAATAAAACTATTACAATCTCTAAGATTTTGAAAGCATTGTTTAGTGAATAAGCGAGTGCGCTGGATTCTGTATTTTTTATATATTTTGGCCCCAGCAGCACCCTGTAATGTATGCATGTTCAGGTGAGTGCAGCCTTCTTGGTTTTGTTTATGTTTATATATATATATATATATATATATATATATATATATATATATATATATATATATATATATATATATATATATATATGTGTGTGTGTGTATCTGTGCATCTGTATGCTTATCTGTATGTATGTGAATCTGTGTGTCAGTGTATCTGTCTGTGTGCCTGTGTATATAGTTGTGTTTATGTGTATGTGTATCTGCATGTTTATGTATGTGTATTCTGTACGGAGAGATAATGTGATTATCAGTACATTCTTACTCCATTATCTCTCCTGTACAGCATGGAATGATGGGAAATGACCTTGCATGGTCAGTTTCCCACACAGTCCCCTTGATTAAAACCCCTGTAACACCAGTCCAGAAACCCCTTGCATGGGGACCTGTATAAATTGTGGCATTACAATAAAGCCTCAGTTGACTCCCAGACTATGTGTCGTCTAGTTCTTGGGAGGAAGGGATTACTGTAACGCTACCTGAATTATTTTAGGCTGTTCACCTGAATTATTGTATGCTGTTCCTGTCTACCAGCGGAGATATTGTGGATTGTACTACCTCTCCACTACAGATATGTATTGAGAATCACATTTATGCTGATTGGTCTCTTGAGGACAGGAAAAAGTTTGCCTGGAATAGCGCAGAGGATACAGAGTGAGCCAAATCTCCAACTATCTCATTTGGAAAAGGCAGCAATGGCACAAGTGGATTTTCCCCACTATCCCCATCTGATCAAAATTTTAGTCCCATTATCATCTTCAAGTGTTGTCTATATGTCTTCCTCCCACTTGTTCAGGGTGGGGGAAATAGTTTTCTATCGAAGTATGATGGAGGAATTTTAATAGGATGTTAAGAATTTCTGATTGTGCATAATTCATTTTAAGGTTGGAAATGGATTCATTACATGATAATTCATTGAGGATTGTTCTCAGAGTGGGCACCAGGTGCATAATAACAAGTAATAGGTCATCTGTGCAGGAAATCCCTCCAAAACTATTTTCCCTCACTGCCTCTTTTTCTCTAATCTGACAGAGAAATAGAGATGTGATATACAAACTTCCACCTATTCACCCGTGGAAATAACTTTTGGATACTGAGCATTCCCTTCAGTTACCTACCAATATGATAACCAAATACAGGATATATACAAAATACAAAACATATAGGGATCCAGCTGATATCACTAAAACAAATAAATAAAACAAAACATAGTGTAATACTGTTAAAGCCTCTTAATGGCAAAACACTTATTGGTTACACTCACAAATTTGTTGAATTAAGAAAGCCTTCAAGGTGCCTCCCCTATGGTTATGGGGTAAAGCCCACTGCCAGTGGTTCCAATCTGGATGGCAGGAATTTCACAAACTCCAAATAATTGTTGAAGTACAAAATATTTAATGGCATGTATTAAAATAAATTAAAAAGCAACAACAGAAGCGGTCCTACGCGTTTCAGCCTTCGTGGAGAACTTCTTCATGGACGAATATGTAAAATTAATACAATAAAACCAAAATTGCCCAATAAAGCCTAATGCCTCCCTCCCAAGGATCCCTTTAAATATGGTAGTAGTTATTGGTGGTGTGGTGGGCGTGGGCGTTCGACTGGATACTTGGTGAAGCTTCAAGCCTATCCCTCCGGTTTCAGAAGAGACATAGTAGCTTACATTTTACATTTGCATTTACCTGTATCATAAATTAGGCTTTCAATTCACTCATCAACATGCCTTCTTGGTTCTGTATTCCATTATCAAATACACGTTATTTATAAGGAATTTTATACATAAAATCTTTTACAGATTTTATTTTATTTTAATTTAAAATTTGTATATTTTTAGATAATGGAGCTGCATTGTGATATGTGACTTTGGAGTGTTTAGACGGGGCGGAGCTAGCGGAGGAGCAGAGCGGACCCGATCCCCAGGAGTCCGTACCGGATACCGCACCAACCTGCTTTTCTGGGCTAACAGGCGAAATTACCCAGGCACTCCAACCCTCACCTGACACGGGAAACAAAATGGTTGGAAACACAAAAAAACAAAAGCCGACAAGGACCCTAACACCCACGATATCGGGGAACTTCTCCGGCGCTTGCAAAAGACCACATGGGACAAAATGGCGGCAGGTGAGGAAGATTATTCCTATTCCACAGATGACTTCTCCATAGACCCCGGGGAAGGCGCAACATGTGTCCCACTACCCACCTCAAAGCCCCAGCGCACCCCTACAGAAGAGCCAGTCACTGCCTCTGTACTTAAAAGCATGCTGGCAGAACTCAGAACAAATATAGCGGCCGACATGGCCTGCATTAAAGTAGCAATAGAGGGGGGTCACCAACTGGAAACCACATCAAACACCCAGGAATCCAGGATAAAGACCCTGGAACAAGCACTAACAGAAATAAGACAGCAGCAACAGGCGTCCAACTACCGGATAAATACATTAGAAGACCAGCGAAGACGTTACAACGTAAAGATCCACGGTATCCCGGACTCTACCAAAGCCTGCAACAGCGCCGACCACGACTTTGGAGTGTTTACCTTTTAAACAGCATTTTCAATGTTGTGTATTTTAAAGTGAATAGCACTTCTCCCAACTGCTATAGCAGATGTAGTCACACTGCAAAAATTCACCCAGACATAGCGAAACCACTACAATGAAAGGATTTTTTTTTTATTTTTTTTTTAAAGCAGGATAAATATAATTTGAAATGCTTTTTTATTCACCACTAGATTTAAAAATTTTGAAACAACTTTGAAAGAGAGGTGAGAGGCCTATTGGACCTCAAATAGCAGATGATGTCACCACAAGTATTAAACTGAAGAGCAGGATAACCCAACTTGGGGAGACTAAACTTGAGGAAGGTGATTTGATCTATCAGTTATGGGGAGATTTGTGAGCATTGCAGGTTTAGAATGTTCTCGGTGACAGAAAACGCTTGATAAAGTTAAACAGTAGTTTGGACAAGACAATAACTGCTGGGCAATCAGATGCAGAGTGGGCACACACAAAAAGTGTTAGAATTTAAGAAATGTTATTTTGTTAGTTCTGCATTGCATTTTAACTGTGCATGTCATTAATGAAAATTGATTTATACTTATAATTTTCTTTTCCTAAACATTATACATGGCAGCATTTACTTATGGGTGAGCTCCTCTCCTCAAAGCAGAAAGGACAGGAAATAGAACTCTGAAATCGGTATACATAGGTGCAGTCCCTACCCGTCAGGCAGTCTTTGTAACTAACTTTACAACTCTATAGTAGATGGGTGGGAATGTAATGTTGCCATGTATAATGACCAGGAAAACAAAATTACGGTAAGTATGAAACAATTTTCCTTATTTATGATCAAAATGGCAGCATTTCCTTATGGGAATACCCATGCAGTATACAGTTGTGCTCAAAAGTTTGCATACCGTAGCAGTAATTGTTACATTTTGGCATTGATTTTGAAAATATGACTGATCATGCAAAAAAAATCTTTTATGGAAGGATAGTGATCATATGAAGACATATATTATTACATACTGGGCTCCTTTTAAAATCATAATGATAACAGAAATCATCCAAATGGCCCTGATCAAAACTTTACATACCCTTGAATGTTTGGCCTTGTTACAGACACACAATGTGACACTCACAGGTAAAATGGCAATTAACCCCTTAAGGACACATGACATGTGTGACATGTCATGATTCCCTTTTATTCCAGAAGTTTGGTCCTTAAAGAACCACTCAATGCACCCAGAACACTTCAGCTTAATGAAGTGGTCTGGGTGCCTGGTCCAGCTAGGGTTAACCCATTTTTTTTATAAACATAGCAGTTTCAGAGAAACTGCTATGTTTACAAATGGGTTAATCCTTCCTCCAATTCCTCTAGCGGCTGTCTCATTGACAGGCGCTAGAGGCGCTTGCATGATTCTCACTGTGAAAATCACAGTGAGAGCATGCAAGCGTCCATAGGGAAGCATTGTAAATTGTAAAGAGACCGGCTTAATGCGCGCGCAGCTCCTGCCATGCATGCGCATTCAGCCGAATGGGAGGAGAGGAGGAGGATCGGAGGAGGAGAGCTCCCCGCCCAGCGCTGGAGATAGGTATGTTTTTACCCCTTTCCTCTCCCCAGAGCCGGGCGAGAGGGGGTCCCTGAGGGTGGGGGCACCCTCAGGGCACTATAGTGCCAGGAAAACGAGTATGTTTTCCTGGCACTATAGTGGTCCTTTAAAGGGTTAAGGTTAATTTCCCACAATTGTGGCTTTTTAAATTGCAATTAGTGGCTGCGTATAGATAGTCAATTAGTTTGTTAGTTCTCAGGTGGATGCACTGAGCAGGCTAGATACTGGGGAGCATAAAAGAACTGTCAAAATAAATGCATAACAAGGTAATGGAACTTTATAAAGATGGAAAAGGATGTACAAAGATATCCAAAGACTTAAAATGCCAGTCAGGACTGTTCAATCACTTATTAAGAAGTGGAAAATTTAGGGATCTCTTGATACCAAGCCAAGGTCAGGAACACCAGGAAAGAATTCAGCCAAAACTGCCAGAAGAATTGTTCAAGATAAAAAGAAAAACCCACAGGTAACCTCAGGAGAACTATAGGCTGCTGTGGGAAAAGACGGCGTGATTATTTAAAGGAGCACAATACAGCGATACTTAAACAAATATGAACTGCATGGTTGAGTTGCCAGAAAGAAAGCCTTTACTGCACCAATGCCATAAAAAAGCCTGGTTACATTATGCCCGACAACACCTTGACACTCCTCACAGCTACTGGCACACTGTAATTTGGAGTGACGAGACTAAAATAGAGCTTTATGGTCACAACCATAAGCGCTATGTTTGGAGAGGAGTCAACAAGGCCTATAGTGAAAAGAATACCATCCCAACTGTAAAGCATGGTGGTGGCTCACTGATGTTTTTGGGTGGGGGGAGGGGGGTATGAGCTCTAAAGGCATCTTGTGAAAATTGATTGTAAGATGAATGCAGCATATTATCAGAAAGTACTGGCAGACAATTTGTATTCTTCTGCACGAAGGCTGCTCATGGGATGCTCTTGGACTTTCCAGCATGATAATGACCTTAAGCACAAGGCCAAGTTGACCCTCCAGTGGTGACAGCAGATAAAGGGGGAGATTCTGGAGTGGCTATAACAATCTCCTGACCTTAATATCATCATCAAGCCACTCTTGGGAGATCTCAAATGTGCGGTTCATCCAAGATGACCAAGGACTTTGCACGACCTGAAGGGAATTGTGCCAAGACGAATGAGCAGCTATACAACCTGAATGAATTAGGGGCTTCACAGACAACTATTACAAAAGACTGCACCTGGTCATTCATGCTAAAGGGGACAATACACAGTATTAAGAACTATGGGAATGCAGACTTTTGAAGAGGGCTAATTTAATTTTTTCTTTGTTGCCATGATTTTTTGGGGGGGATTGTGCCATTCTGTTATAGCCTACAGTTGAATATGAATCCAATAGGAAATAAAAGAAATGTGTTTTAATTAGCCACTCATGTTTTCTTTAAACATGGTACATATATTACCAATTCTTCAAGGGTATGCAAACTTCCGTATATAGTGGGAGTCCCTTCCATGTTTTAGGGGGGGTCCCTTCTATGTGTCTCAATCCCCCTCATCCTTCAATGTGTAATTCCCCTCCTACCGGTCACACTGCTATCGCGAGCCTAGGCCGGTGCGGCATGTGCGCTGGCCCTAAATCATGGTCTAAAAATTATAAACATATTTTGGCAAAATCAGAAGTTAAGGTCTTTCTCAAATATAGATAAAATACCCAATGGATTGCACTTTTAAATCAGAACCATATTAAATGCATAACTTCCAGACAGGGGTCGCAGCTGTGGCCAGGCGCTCTGCAGCTGTGACCTCAGGAGAGACAGCCTTGTTGCAGCTGCGAACCATGTGACTGTGGTAATTACACCACTGGTTAATAGTATAAAAACCATTATTGAGCTGCATAAACTACTCAGACAAGTCATTGTACCTCAGAGGCTGCAGGTCAGCAACCTCCTGGTATTCAAATATAGGGAATATCCTTGAGAATTATTGTGCCGGTAGAAATTAAGGTCACAATAACCAAACCTATAAAAAGGAACAAAACTAAACTAATACAAGACAAACTACTGTAAGAAATAAGACACCCGTTTTGCTACGGAGAATAAAATAGATTATGCTCAAGGAGTTTGTCCTCTAAAGACACGGTCCAGAAATTCTAAACATATTTTGGCAAAATGAGAAGTTAATGTCTTTCTCAAATATAGATAAAATACCCAATGGATTGCACTTTTAAATCAGAACTATATTAAAGACATAACTTCCAGGCAGCAGGCTGGAACAAGCCTTGAAATTCCAGACACCACCACACCCTACTATCAAACAGGGAGGAGAAATGAAAATGAAAATCCCACCGTTCTCTGTAAGCATGTATTTATTAAAGACAGAATTCTCACTGCTTCATCTTGCCTTGGGATTTTCATACCTGTAGCTACAGGAAACACACAAAAAATGTCTGCCTGTAAAAAAAAAACAAAAAAAAACAAAAGCAGAGCCTAGTAGAGAAATATGAGAGTTTATTATGAAAGCACTGCAAAAATAATTGCATTTTGCAAATTTCAGACTCTCAGCTGCGTCTCACACTGTAAATGGACTGTTTGATACAGTAAAGGTGTCACAGGAGAGACAGAAAGCAATAAAATAAGTATGCATATAATAATAAAAATCAAATAAAAATATTAATCCTGATATTCTTTCACTACTATCTGAATGATGTGATCCTTCTTGCCTTTGCCTAGTAATATCTATTAGAATGAACCATAGATAATGTGGAAACTGCTAATTAGAAGTAGGAAATTTACATCAACAACATTAGGAAATACATTCAAAGATTAATATACTGTAAATAGTACCAAAAGTTAGAATCAAAATGATTAGAGATTATTATAAGTATTTAATATGCAATATGCAGGACACCAATGAAAGTTGGTTGATCCATTGTGGCTACAGACACAAAAATAAGCTGAATTGCCAAACACATTCAATTGTCATTATGAGAACAAAACAACCACATACTTACGCTGACCTTATCTTCAGATACTAATGAAGGACTTAGGGCAGAGTCTAAGGGGATTTTAAGATCCTTGTGCAGCTTGTTTTAACTGCAAAGACATAAACACTAGTCCAAGCATATAATTCACGATATTGCATCAATAGAATGTCAAGAATGAACATTACTTATATGTGTTTAGGTACAGAGACTATGTGAAAAACATCAGCCATGCAGTGGCGAACCTACCGCGTTTGCAGGGGTCACCGCTGCGACCGGGTCCGCCACTGCATGTGTGTCAGTGTATGCACCTGTGTGTCTGTGTAACTGTCATCCCACTACACACACTGTCACACCCCTTCACCCTGCCACACTCAATAACTCACCCAATTCTGTCACTCACCCTATCACACTCATCTTCTTTTGCACGGTCACACCCCCAATCCTGTCACACTTATTCTCCATCACTCTGTCACACTACCCCCTTTTACCCTGCCACATTCACCCCCATCACATTAACCCCTTCAATTCTCTCATACTCACCCGCCCCAACCATGCCACACTCACCCTGTGGGACGTGAATGAGATACATAGAGTGGTTGGGGGCATAAATGTGCCACATGGAGAGGGGCCCGCAGGGCACTTTTTGCAGCAGACCCCGTGGACTCCCCAACTTATAGGAACACTATAGTCACCTAAATAACTTTAGCTTAAAGGAACACTTTAGTCACCTAAATTACTTTAGCTAAATAAAGCAGTTTTAGTGTATAGATCATTCCCCTGCAATTTCACT